AATAAATATATTTCTTCAATAAATAATGCAATGATTTGCTTAGTTACTTAAAAAATGGCTCCAATTACTACTCCCATCATCCATATATTTTTTATTCTGATTTAGTGTGTACTCTATATAATTATTCACAAGTTGTGTTCCTTTGTGCATTTTATTTTCTCCACCATATTAAAAGCTCTTTAATGGCATGAACCTTTTTTAGAGCTTATGGTGGCATTACACAATAATATCTATTTCCAATTATGCATGTAGGACATCTTTACAATGGAGTATTTTCATATAATAGTCATAATTACTGTATCTAAAAGTAACACTTTCATATAGTTATTTACTCTTATATACACACGTACTTTGATAATAAACCCATTCCTAAAGTATAACAGGTTAACTGATGAGAACTGAAGAATCTTATTATACTCATTGGCTGGTAATTCTAAAACCGAATGTTGAAAAAAGTGGGGTAAATATACAGACCTTCAAAACCCGTTAATATAATTAATCAGATGCTTAACCTAATTTATATCACTGAAATAAACATTTTAAATGCCAGACATAAATAATTCCCTGCTGACTATAACTGCTATAAATACACTTTGATTACTTAAGCAATTTCACAGCATGTCTGTATTATAGTAATACATACTTAACTAAGCAACTTACATTTCAAAATATTATAGAATTGTTGCTAATTCTTTTTCAGTATTTATAGTCAGCAATGAATTCTTTCTTCACCCATTACATAAAAATAGTGTAGCATAGTTAGAATAACTAATATACAAATAGGCCCATGCACGTATTTACGCATCCCTTCCATTTACACTCGAAGTCAATGAAATAATATTTATTTCACTTCAAAAACATTGGTTCTGGCAAGCCTGAATTCAGTAACATTTTGAATATTTATTTATTCATCAGTGAGCAAGAATCCAAGTTTCTTTATATCATATAAGATAGTATAACATATCAGCTTCTTAAAAATGCATCTTTTCAATAACAGAATTATATAATAACAAGCATTAATTTTATTTCTACAAAAAAGGCATATTTATTTAATTTTAACATGTATTAATTTGAATTGTGCATTATTCTTTCTCTGGTACAGTAAAAGGTACACATATTTAATTTCATGTGCTCATTTTTCTAGTTTCTACTACATAAACTTTAACCAGTATATCCTATATTAATTATTTCCTGACCTCAAGCAGTAACATCTGCAAATAGAAAAAACTCCTCCCATCATCAATTTATCCCTCTGAATTATTAAAAATAAGTGCAAATTTAATATGAAGTTCTTCAATACTATAAGGTCATTTAATTTAAAATGTGCACAGCTATGTTGACAAAGCTAATTACTGAAAGAAAGAATAAAGATGGCCATATAAGAAAAAAAGAACTCATTTTTTAGAATGAGTTCTTTTTCTAAAAGAACTCACTTTTGAGAGGAATGTGTAATTAAACAAGCCAAAGGTTTCATTTCTGAAAATTAATACTTCTCTTTCTTTAAATGTTTTGGGTTTCTTTTGTTTGTTTATTGATTTTAGAGAGAGGAAGGGAGAGGGAAAGAGAGAGAAACATCGATGCATGCACCCCAACTAGGGATCAAACCTACAACCTGGATATGTGCCCTGAGGGGAACTGAATTGGAAACCTTTCAGTGCAGAGGACTATGCTCAACCAACTGAGCCACACCGGCCGGGACTAATACTTCTCTTTACTTAAAATCACATTCTATCACAGTTTTGCTGGTTTCTTTACAAATTGAAATATAATTTTTTTCTCTTCTTTGATCTAAAAGATGTCATAGTTATTTTGCCAAAGTTACAGAGCAAAGGAGTTTTAAAATGTTGCTTATATCAAAAGTCTGTTTGGATAGTTCTAAAGAGAACTCCAAACTGAAGTGCCTTGAAGGCTCTCTGGAAAAACAGAAAAAAATCAGGCATTTTAAATGTTTCCATCCAGTGATTTTTTTCATCTCTGTATGCAAGAGAGAGACTGGGATTTAAAAAGCTCATCAACACAAAGCCTCACTGCGTTCTGTTTAGCAGTTTTATCAGTCTGTTACCTGGTGTCAGACTTATATAAGACTGTTTCCTTCCATTAGGAAAAGTTCCTAAAATGAACACTATCAAAGCTGATAAATTAAAAACTAACCTACTTTTTTCAAAAGATTTCCATGGTTTTAACTGAAATATACTAGCAAACACTTTATGTTTTAAGTGTCAAAATAAAAATCTGTAAAATATGTACACATTTCTCAAATTTTTATCTCTAATAGTGAATTTCTTATGGTACTTTCTATGTACATTGGCTTTACTATCTATTTATTGTAAACCTAGTATTATTCTGAATAAACCCACACTATAAAATACTCATTTGGAATGCATTTATAAAATGTAAGTAGCCCTGGCTGGTTTGGCTCAGGGGTTAGAGTGTCAGCCCTCGGACTGAAGCGTCTCAGGTTCAATTCCCAGACAAGGGCAGGTTCGATCCTGGGCCATGGTTGAGGTCTTGCGGGAAGCAATCAATGTGTCTCTCTCACATTGATGTTTCTCTCTCTCTCTCTCTCTCTCTCCCCCCTCCTTCTCCCTCCCTTTCCCCTTCCCCCTCCCTCCCCCTCCCTCTCCCCCTTCCTCCCTCCTCTCCTTTCTACACTGTTTAAAAATCAATGGAAAATATTCTCAGGTGAGTATTAAAAAATAAGTAAAATGTAAGTAAACTGATTATGCCAATGAATATGTTTAATAAAACACAACTGTGAATTTTAAAACATGTTATTTGTAAAAAAAAAAGATTTCTTATATTTATAAGGCTGTCATTGCATAGTTTTCTATTATCTTTTTAAGAATGAAGCATTACATTCTCAAGAAGGAAGAATGTTAATAAATTAATTAAAATAGAAGCCACTCAATACTTTCTAAAAGACAAATCTAATTTCTGGGTTCTTTCAATTTCCCAACTGTCATAAATATAATGAGAAATGTATTTCAAGTAAATTCACAAATCAACCAAATGGCATCACATTTACGGACTTTTCTATTATTCTTGTAATTCAAATATAGGTTCTATACTTTTCCTACTATTATTTGGAAAATCAGTAAGAAGTTCACAGAGTTAATTCAAATAAAAGGGTAAGAAAGAATACAGTCTTATGAAAAATTATATGCATAAGCAGGACACAATGAACACATTTCATCACATGCTTTAAAGTAATAAATCATTAATAAATAAATTCATTAATTTTTAAGACTATTAACACAGCCTGTATTCACTGTGCTTAATTTTCCACTGAACTATGGTTATAAATATATGTAAATAAATGAAATAAAAAAACTTCATATAGCCTTGATGATTTTACACTGTATACCTTGTAAGAACAGAGTAAATGGATATGATAAACATTATGATAATGGACAGAAGTTTCATCAAGATAATAATCATATTAACTAGACAATTATTACCCTAACTTCAAGGTTCTTTAGTACACAAGAAATAAAATTACTCTCTGCCCAAGAACTAGAGCAATATGAAACAATAAATCACTATGGGTATTTCTTGTATTTACCAATATTAAGTGAAACTCGAGGCAAAAGTACACAAAACAGATATTTCCTATGTTCAAGCAATGTATAATTCAAGAATAACTAAACAAGAATTAAAAAATGCTTTTGATAGCCTTAAATTCTAATAATAAACACAGAAGAATAGGATTAAAAACAATAATGATCAAATGTTCTACAAGTACATGCCATCAAATCTTTGATGATTATTCTGTAGAGGTCTTTATAATATTTGTTAAAATTAATCATACAAAATATAAACATATATTTCATTCTTGAAAGCTAACATTATAAGCTATGGCATTTAATAAAAATCTTAAATATCAAAATGCAATGTTATAAACATAAAGCACTAGAATTTTGGAAATAAAGTAATACCCTAGGATAAAAAGAACTAGAATGAAGAAACGAATAGGTAAGTTTATAAGCAGTAATGGGGACTGGAAACTAAGTTAAACTTCATATTAAGCCATCCATGTCCTCAGACATAATACTTAATGTTCTTTGATCATAAATGAAGGTGTTTATGATCTTATGTAATATCTGGCTTATATGCACAAATCACTACTGGAAACACTGCCCGTTATAAAAGGGCTTTGTCTTCTGTGTTTATAACAAACTATAACTCACTTAAAAGGTGAATTATAAGCTCAATGGAGAAAATAAGCAATAAAAGTTATCCTAGTTATATAAATAGAACTAAATTGCTAGGAGACTTTAAAGGTGAAATTTAAAATATTAGTTTTTGTCTCAGAAAATGGAAATCTAAGGAAAATCAGGATACGCCTAATTAAATTAAGCATATTCAAGATTTTTCTGTATTTTGCTTACATATATGTGGGAAGGAGAAGTAGAATATGCAAAATCTTTGCAATATATCCACACCCCAAGTTCCTGCTTTCTCCTTGCCTACAGGAGTGTATTATAGAACATGGTGAGGATGACAATGGCTTTATGACAAATAGGAATGGAGTTAATGCAGACGCAGTAGGCAACCTAGCTTTTGAGAAGAAAATGGTTTTTATGAATAGTTTTATTGAATTGCAAGTAACTATAAATGTATTTGGACAGACTTCGAAACTTTAAAAAACTGTGTTCATAAGCATTCTTATTCAGAGATAGTATTTTATAATAAAACCTACTTGAAAAGATACATATAAATTTAATTAAAAGCCCCAGTTTCTTACTAATTGTCTTATATTCCTCTGAAAATATAATTTGGGATAGCAGAGGAAAAGAACTCATTTCCTACAACTTCTTAGTTAAAAATACTACGGCCCAGATTTCCATCAGTTCTGCTCAATATACAGAGCTGTCATTCTGACCCATGTTAAGTGTTTTCGCTTAGAAAAGACAGTGCTAACACTAAAAGGGAAATTAGTCTGAAAATCATAATCCTTAAACAAAAGTTTATAAGTGTATCACTGATATTTCAACACTTACGGCTATCATAACATATGTTTCCTAGAGCCCTGCCCGTTTGAAGCAGCACTTCCTGGTCTTTGCTATTTAGTAGCTGCACCAGTGGTGAAATCAATCCAGCATCCACACATGGAATACGCATAAATTCTGAAAATAAGAGACATATTTAATTAAAAATCGAAAGATTCACAATTCACATAAATCATGTCCCTTAATAAAATAAATATCTATTAAAATATTCAAGGTGGCTCACTATTTGAAGAGTACCTTTATGTTCAAAATTATCATTAGCACTGTACTATGTACTTCATGAAATAAGTATACAAAAATGAGTGGGGTCATATTTTCCTTTGCTGATAGTCTGCCATAAACCAAAAGGGTTTGCAATTAACTTTTATACCTAATTTATCACTATCTTCTTATAATAATTGAATGTGCTTAGGAAGCAGCATGTGCTGCTGGAAACACTGGTAATGGTCTTTCCATAAACTCGATAATTAAAGTACAGCAGGCCCTCAAACAACTCGCTCAATGTTGTTTTGTTATAATGTTGATGAGATGCAGTAAAAACCTAACTTGTTTGTATCAAATTAGCCTATGGTAAAACTGGTTTTGTCACCCATTGTTTCCTCGAAGTTCCAAAAACCTACTGATGACACTGAGGACTTACTGTACTACAGTTATAAACTAAGCCATCAAACTAATTTTTTCACTGTTTGCTAAAATATAAGATTTTTTTAAAAGGTTCAAGCAAATTATTGTAAGTAAATCATTTTTCATTGGTAAGATTCAATGGAACCATTTATTCCTTATCTTCATTCCTACTATTTATTAACATTCATTTTATGGATCACTCACATTTAATGTTGTGTTCTAAAGTACCAAATGTTTTCTTATACTTCAAACTTTTTTTTCTTAACTTTATAATATATCATTCTAAATGTAGTAATCCCCAATGATACCATCATAGTCATGATTAGACAAAACTTTTATACAATATTTTATGGAGGACTAATACAAAATTTAAGCACATGAAGATCAATAAAGTTCTCTAATAACCAGTATCAGAATCATCATTTTGGACATCATGACTTACTGTATGGATGTTCTAGTCAATAAAGATGTAATTCTTCCACCTATAATCCATCCTACTAAAAATAATCACTTTTCACTCTCACTTTCAGAGGGGTCCACTCCTTAATTTATATCACAAATACCCTCATAAACAATCTCCCTCTCTCTCCCTTCATTTTCAAATTCTTACAGCACATCATATAAGGCTGTTATGTAAACCGTTACCTCTGTAACAACTTCTTTTCCCCCTAACATAGCTATTAAGTCACAGAGGCATTTCTCTCTACTTAAAGGATTGCATTTCTATCATATCTCTTACTCACCTCTATATTACTAAAAATTCTCTATAATTTAAACTCCAAGATTAAGAGTACTTCCTTACTTCTACAGGTAACCTTTAAGTTTATTATTGTTGATGTGTTGCTTTTTAAACTCAATAGTATGAGATATTCCATCAGCTACTGGGAAAACAAATTATGCTATATACTTCCATGAATTCAATGACTTTAGGAGATGATGTAACAACCTACTTGTCTACCTCTTAAATAGTTACTTTAGAATTTTTATAGATTTCAAATCTTAAAATAACTTGTCACCAACCCAAATTAATCAAATTAAAGGCAGATATTCATTCTCCTTTCCACCTCTCCCCATGCCTAGTTTCCAACAGGGGCATCATTTAAATGACTATTAAAATAAGAAATTTAGGAATGGTCTGATTTATATTCATTTTATACATGTAAACTGTTGTTATATCTTATTGTTTTGCTTGTTTGTTTTGCTGTTGCTACTCTTCAGGCAACGGCAGCATTGATGAATTATTATTTTCCTTTGCTTTTATGTTGTAATTATTTCTATGATACCAACCTATGTTTCAAATTTTTGATGCTATCACTGATATTTGGTATTCTTGAAATGAAAGAGGATAAATAATTTTAGGAAAATTGTGAATCAAATAAAACTGCTCTGAATTGTGTTTTTTAAAATGCAAAAGCATATAAAGAATACCTTAAACACATACAATGTTATATGTCAATTATCTCAATTTTTACAAAAAGAATATAAAGATAAAACTAAAATATTCCTCAGCTTTCAGTCAATGTAAAAGTAACACTGCCAGTCCCTGGAGAAAGTAAACTTCTTCCAAAACTTTGTGCTTTTCAGACAATTTACTTTTTAAGTGAAGAGTGCAGCCCTCCTTAACTAGTTTTAAAACATAAAGTCACCTGCTTCAGATAGTTACATGTGAAAATATATCAATAATTTTTCAGAAATATGTTTAAAATTATCTGTATATGGAGAGGCTATAGAATGGTTGTGATGGCTGTACTTGTTCAAAGAGGTTCCTACTACATACATCTCTAGTTTCTGGAAATCTATATTGTGATTATAATGAGATTAAAAATATACTACTTGATCTTTAAAAAAAAATCAAGCTGTTTTGCATTTAAGATTTAGATAGTGGTTGGTCCAGGTTAACAAAACATATGAGGGAGTTCTATTTTCAAACTAGATCAGCTTTAGGAATTCTTTATAGTCCTAAAGTAATCACTATTTATTCAGAGTAGTTCAAATCTACTTGAAGTGCACTATTCCAAGACCTTTGAAAATTTATGACCAGCTCAAATCTAAAGCACAGTATATTGATAATATAATTACAATAGCTAGTCATGATATAGAAACAGTAGGTGGCCAGTTTTCAGTTAACAACCAAAAGAAAAAAGAAAAAAATGTGCAATACAGAAAACCTCACTGAAACCTGAAAGATATTTTAAGAGCCTCTAAACCAGCAGTTCTCAACCTGTGGTTCGCAACCCCTTTGGAGGTCAAATGACCCTTTCACAGGGGTTGCCTAAGACATAACAGTAGCAAAATTGCAGTTATGAAGTAGCAACAAAAATAATTTTATGGTTGAGGGTCACCATAACATGAGAAACTGTATTAAAGCGTCACGGCATTAGGAAGGTTGAGAACCACTGCAAACAAATGAAAAAATTTCATGGTAATTTTCTTTTTGGTAACACATTTATGAGCAAGTTGTTTTACTATGCCAAAAGCAACATATATTGGTATTTTACAATGCCACCTGCATTGTGATTAAACAAATGAAAACAGAATTTTTAAAAATATTTTTCTTTAAAGTATAATATTAAAACTTACTAAAATAAAAGGTCTAAAAATAATAGCAAACTCATAAACTAAGACACACTAAAGGTATTACATTTAGTAGGGCCTTCTCTTATGTTTAAAAACTGCTTTAAGAGTCAGGGTTTTCTCACACTGACCAAATTAAAATCCTATGTAAATATTTCTGCTACATTAAATTCTTCCAAAGTATCTCTTATTAGATATAAACTACATGTAATGGGATGGACTAGCTGTTATATAATTAAGCTTTGCTGTCACTATTTTTCCAAAGTATTCTTACATGGAAATTTTTTTTAAAATGTTTCCCATGAAGGTGAATGCAGAAAACAGAACATATATTCTTCTAACTGCTCTGTTGCTATCAAGTGCCAGTGTCAGGAGGATAGGCCAGACTAAAAATAAATAGTTTAAACCTGGGTCTAACACATGCCAATATATACATTGAAAAAGGTAAACTCTCTGTGACAATAAAGATGAATGACTCAGTGGCAAGTTTAAGAATCCTATAACCAAAGTAATAAATGATACAGGTGCGGAAGGGACTAGCAGTGCTTTCCTTTAATTCTACTCTAAAAGGACATGGGAAATGTATAAATAAAATAACTATAATTGTAATTCTCTTATTGTATGTATGTCCAAAGGATTTTAAACAATGACATAAAAAAGCCAAAGAAAAATATATAAAAAAATAAAAAATGTCTAATCTACAAAATTAAAACATAAATTAATAAAACATACTGACAAGTTAGGTGTAAAACTGAAGATGTTCCCAGCAGAAAAGTTCTTGAGGAAAACCTCACCATTTTTGGCTACTTCGGCTATGATGTTAGCTACTTTGGCTGTGCAGGGAGACTGTGGAATCAACAGACTTGCAAACAGCTGAAGTATTCCACTTCCTTGGATTTTTTCACTTGTTTCCATATCTGAAAGAGATATATACAAAGAGCTTCAATGAAAATCTTTATATAATGACAACTTTATATACAATACATTCTTCAAGAATTCTCACCATCCAAATAAAAATTTGTTCAGTATACATTCAAATGTATGCATTTATATAAAATTACCTTCAGTTCCACACCTGCTTCTGAGTTTTTATCTGCACAAAACACTTTATAATGTTGTTTTTTTCTATCTACAGTCAGACTATAAAAGAACCCTTTCTGAATATACCATTTGTATACTAAACTTACTTTTCAATGTTAGTTCCAACCCTGTCTATTCAGAGTAGGAATGCCTTTTCTTCTACGTCCCTTCTGAATTCTGTAACAGTGTGTGTGTATATATAAATTCTATGGTTTCCTATATGCTATCACAATTTGTTTAAATGGCAATCAAATGAGCAAAAAACTCACCTCATATCATTTTATATGGAGTGATAGAGGAAACGATATAGTTCTATATAACTACTATGTTTTTCATACAACTCTTTAAACTACCATTAATGAAGAAAATAAATAGTAAACGGCAATAAGGCCATGGTATTCAGAACTCGATTTGGTGATACAGAAATTCAGGAGGCTCCTGCTTCTTTCCACTTCAGGTATCTATTATTAAAAGAATGTCCTATTAAAATAAAAGAAGAGGAACACTTGGAATGACGATGCAAATAAAGAAAAGCTCAAGGAGCCCCAGTTTGGCTCAGTAGTTAGAGTGTTGGCCCGCAACCAAGGGTTGTGGGTTCAATTCCCAGTCAAGGGCACAGAGCTGAGTTGCAGGTTCAATCCCCGGCCCTGGGCTGGCCGTGAGTCAGGCAACCAACTGATGTCTCTCTCTCACACTGATGTTTCTTTCTCCCCTCCCTCGCTCCCTCCCTTCCATTCTATCTAAAAATCAATGGAAAAATATCCCTGGGTGAGGATTAACAAAATAAATAAAAAGAAAAAGAAAAAAAGAACAAAAAAACCCAAGGAAATAAAACATAAAATTGCTATCTGATTCTGAACAATGACGAGGCATGGCATATATTTAGATAGAAAATTATACAGGTCATTAAAACATTCAATTTAAATTTGTTTCTATGTGTATATCTGTTACATCCTTTGGACATACATACAATAAGAGAGAACTCTAAAGATTTCTTGTTAAGCCCTGGCCAGTTCTGCTCAGTGGTTAGAGCATAGGCCTGTGGACAGGAGAGTCCAGGTTTGGTTCCCACTGGGGGCATGTGCCTCGGTTGCAGTTTGTCCCTGGCCCAGTTGGGGTTGTATGGGTGGCATACGCTCGATGTGTCTCTCTAGCGTTGATGCTTCCCTCTCTGTTCCTCCCTCTCTCCCTCCTGCTCTATCTGAAGAAAGATGTGAGAATGTCCTAGGGCAAAGATAAAAAACAAAACAAAAACAAAAAATAATTTAAAATTTCTTGTTAAGTAAATAGCAACTGATGTGATCAATAGAATGGGAAAATAATTTTTAATGGAATAATTTGAAAAAGTCTACAAAAAATAAATAATGCATTTCTTTACAGTAAGTGCAGATTAGGGCAGTTTTTTCTAATCTGTGGATCCTGATCCATTTGAAACTCTGAAATAGATTTGGTGAACAAGGACCAGCAATTTCTTAAAAAGAGAATAAAATTAAGACTAGCAAAAACAACAAAAAAATAGGAAAAATTTTGCCTATAGTAAGGTAAAACACTGTTAGTGAAACTTTGAATTATGTATATGCACATGTATAAGTAACTGTGTGTGTATGCCTACTGTATGCAAAATGTATTTCAACCATAGGTTCTGGTCAAAAAGTTAAAAAACTACTGTTCTGTGCACTGCTTGACTATGTAGAGTTACAGAACCATAACACTCTCTTAACATCATGAGGAGCTAGAGTTGTCAAATGGCTGAAGCAATAGAAAAATACATGGGTAATTATACTTCCATGTATTTATTATCTTTAAAAAAGTAATTTGCAATTCATTTATATATGTTTATCTATGACAACAGCACTACAGATCAAGTAACTCAGATTATTCAATGTTGAAACTTCATCCATGCATTTCCTTTTCCTACCATAAGCACAGTGTATTTTCACATAGCTAATACTATTTTAGCTTCTAACATTTTATGCACTATAAAAAAGGTATTTTGGAGATACTTTAAAACAACTTTATTTATAAGGTGAAGAAATAGAAGCCCAGAGTAAAGTAAATTTGTCTAAAGTCACCAATCATACCAATCACAGAGCATAAACAGCAACTTCAGATTCTATTAAATTAACAAATCGACATGTGTGTCACCTGGCAACCACTGGTGTTATTTTTTAAAACAGAAAACTTAAGCATAAATAGATGAAACCTGTCTTTTTGTATGCTGTCACTTACTAGGTTTCTTACAATTCCCATTAGTAGAAATGTAATCCACACGTAACAGGGATATAAAAACAGCAGCTGTTTTTAAGGTACCACCTGAAAACCTGACACCAAATTTCCATTAATTATTTTTTTAAGCAAGAAGCCAAAACGAACTGAACCCAATTTGCCATAGTAAAATCCTTCCTTTTCTGACCAGAAGATGTACAACCACAGAACACTGACATACTGCCCCAGGGGTCTTGTCCCACCATCTGCTGGTGCTGAGATGAAAGAGCAAGAGTATGGCATAAGGCATGAATCATGATGAGATGTGAAGCCGAGGCATTTGTGTGCATGGAGCCAAGGAGTTAACTGCAAATCATCCATGCACGTCTCATTTTAACTAAAACTGAAAGAACAGCTTAACATCAGAGCTCAATGTCAGGGGTAAGGGGAAAAAAAAAAAAACAATACGAAACTGTTGTACTGATGAGACTTTCCACAGATTATAATCCAAGAAATTGGAAGAACAGTTATATGAAGATGAATCAAGAATTTAGAAATAAACTTTATGTTGTTAGAAAAATAAAAGGAATAAATATAATCTTGTTTCTAAAAAATATAATTTCTACTTACAAAAAAATCTAACAGGAAATCTATTTATCTGCTAGCATGTGTATTTCTATATAGGTTGAGAATTTAACTTCAACAGCTCAGAATTACCTTCTTTCCTGTGGCATAAAAACATAAAGAACCAAATACTGCTTATCACTAAAATGTCACTGTCCAATAAATAATTACAAAGTTTCAGCCTCATTTCATATATATTTTCTGCACTGGAATTATACTGCATATCAAAAGCATAGTTATTTGTGAAACTAAAAGATGTTCTCAGGTATCTGTGAGCACCCTTGAAATTATTTTAAAAGAGCATTAAGAAGTAGTCTGCAGTTAGGTTTGCAGGTCTAAATGAAGAAAGGACTACTTGAAAAAAAAAAAAAAAATCATGCACTGCGCAGAGTCCTAAAAAATGGTAGGCTTTTCATTATTTTAGCCAGACTACTATTGACATTTTAACTACTTTCCTTTTAAATGTTTGCAGGAATCAATTCAATATCTTTCTCCCCCTTCACGTTTAGATGCAGTCCTAAAAAATGTTTTGAGCCCTGGCCGGTTTTGCTCAGCTGTTAGAGCGTTGGCCTACTGTCCGGAGAGACCCGGGTTCAGTTTCTGCTAAAGGCGCGTAACTTAGTTGCAGTTTGTCCCCGGCCCTGGTTGGGTCGTGTGGGTGCCAGCCACTCGATGTGTCCCTTTCATGTTGATGTTTCTCTCTCTCTCTCTCGCTCCCTCCCACTCTACCTGAACAAAAAATGGAAAAATGTCCTCGGGTGAGGATTTAAAAAAAAAAAAAGTTTTGAGTATGCCTATAAATTACAGGCACTGACAGTCCTTGAGTTTTAAAGGACCCATACATGATGGGCAATTGCCATTCTAAAATCTGTAGGGCCTACTGCAGGAGTCCTATCCATCACAGTAGCCCTTGCAGTGCTTCAAGCACTCATTCTGTCCCACAGGCCTATGTCCACACTCCCCCTGGTAACAACATGCAGCTTAGTTATGAAACTGTCAGTGACAGAAGGAAAAAGAAAACAGCGCAATTAGGTCAGAGAAAGTTTCAAGAAGAGTAAATCAAGAAGCTAAGCTACAATACATTATAGGGAGGTGAAGAAAAAGCACCACTCAGAACTTCTCATGGCCAATAACCTGGTAGAACACGGGAAACAGGCACAATGGGAATAACTCGTAATATAAGACATAGGCTGAGTATGGCTGAAGTTCCCAAAAAGGTGCCAAATGAATACATTAAAATAATTGGTTTTAGCCCTGGCTGGTTTGGCTCTGCGGTTAGAGTGTGGGCCTGTGGTCCAGAGAGACCCGGGTTCGGTTCCTGCTAAGGGCACGTACCTCGGTTGCAATTTGTCCCTGGCCCTGGCTGGGTTATGCGGGTGGCAACCACTCAAAGTGTCCCTTTCACATCAATGTTTCTCCCTCCCTCCCTCCCTCCCACTCTATCTGAACAAAAAATGGAAAAATGTCCTCAGGTGAAGATTAAAAAAAAAAATTGGTTTTACATTTAAATACCAAGATGGGGTTTTCAGGTACACTACTATTACAATAAGATAAATTTATGATGCTATGTTAGCATATAAGCTTCACGAGAATAAATTAATAAAAAGCATTTGATAACAAATTTGCAGTAAACAAGTTAGAAAAACAAAAACGACTGCTATTTCTATGACTCTCTTAGATTAAAAAGGTATTTGGATAAATTGATAGCATTTTTAAAAATAATAACACCTAATACTCTTTTTTAAAGTAATAAAAATACATTTTTTAAATCTATGAAAATAAATAAATTAAAGGGGGGGCCCTCACAGGGGGGATATGTACATTTAAAAACTCCTTTTGCAACAACATGGAGAAGATCACTATGCTAAGTGAAATAAGCAAGTCAGTGAAAGACAAGTACCATATGACCTCTTTTATCTGGAATCTAATGAACAAAATAACTGATAAACAAAACAGAATCAGAGGCATAGATACATGGAAAAGACTGACATCTGCCGGAGGGTAGGGG